GTAGAAATTAGAATAGAACAGAACAGAAATAAGAACAGAACAGAATAGAATAGAAATAAGAATAGAGTAGAAATAAGAATGGAACAGAACAGAATGGAATGGAAATAATAGAGTAGAGTAGAAATAAGAATAGAACAAAATAGAACAGAATAGATAGAATAGTTAATTGTCACTTTGAATGTACGCTAATCAGCATACATTAAATGAAATTACGATGCATATAGCTCTCAAAGGTTCTCTACCTCTACTATAAACATAAACATGACAAAATAAATAAATAAATATGCATGTACCAAGAGAAATAAATCTTGCAAGTTTACCAGGTGGGCCTAGCGTGTTGTGTGAACCATGCAATGATACAGACATTCATGGAATCATAGGGCTGGAAGGGACCACGAAGGTCTTCTAGACTGACCCCTTGCTCAGGGCAACCCCATGCAGTTCATAGATTTTATGTTCTTGGTTTTCATGGAATCATAGGGCTGGAAGGGACCACGAAGGTCTTCTAGACTGACCCCTTGCTCAGGGCAACCCCATGCAGTTCATAGATTTTATGTTCTTGGTTTTCATGGAATCATAGGGCTGGAAGGGACCTCAGCAGTCTTCTAGTCCAACCCCAGATGATGTGCAGACCTAGTTAACGTGCAGAAATCCACATCAGAAACTGCCATCGTGCTGGGGCTTTTTTTTCTTTTTTGAAAATACGCAAAAGATTCTCCGAAACGGTTGGCTTTATATTCTTTTATCATCCCCTTGTTATCCCTCACCTCATGATGATGGTTTCAATTCGTTACGCGGGACTCATTTCAAAACACCTATTTTGCAAAATGGCCATATGGCGGGAAGGGATCCCTCCTCTCGAATCAAGGTTTTGAAACAGGCTCTTTTGTAGCCGCCCATGGTCAGCAGAGCTGGCAGCAGAATCGGACAGTAATGAGATTGGAGAGGAACATGGGCCAGTCCTGGAGACTGGGGAAATCTCAGAGGAGGGCGTCGGAGGCAGAGACGAGGCCAAGGCTGTCCGCCAGTGATCAGGTGCCTACAGAGCTAGACAGCAGTGAGGCAGAGGAACAGCTGGAGCCTGTTCCTAGTGTGCGCATGCACAGAGCTGCCAGAAGAAAAGAACAACTCAGAAATCAGGGCTGACTTGGGAGTAAAGCCACAGGTGGAAGGTGATTGACCCCTCCCATAGAAAATAAAAGAGGAGCAAAAGGGGAGGGGGCTTTTGCAGGAAACAATTCGGTCAGTCGTTTTAGGAGTGTAAAGATCTGTCCGTGAATCTCAGAGACTCTGTGCCCAGCCTTTCCTTGCACAGCACCTCATTTGGAAAACATTTACATGACAGCTTTCCAAGATAGATAAGGTCTGTGGTCATAAATATTTCTTTGAAGGACTGTTTTCCAGCCCTTGGCTGAATGTGAATGAGAGGAATTCACATTCGTTTAATAAAAGGGGACCAGGACTCTGCCTTGTGTTTTTTGAGGAAGCCGAGGTCAGAACAGTCTCTGACATTACAAAGTGTGGCTTTTCTTGAAGTTTATAGCCTTTGAAACTTTCAGATTCCATACCTGTCCACCTTCTTCCTCTGCACTTTCTAATATGGTAATTGGGCTGTCACCGTAACCCTGATTTGCTACAGGTTTATAAATGTTAGTAAGCACTTATCCAGCTTTGCATCCCAGGGTTTAACTTTTCAGTTTCCATTTGCTGTATATCAACCAAGGTGGTCAATACCTCGACCCCCGGCAAATGGTTTCTGCACCTAATAGAAGTTGGAAGGATGCCTGCATTCCTTCATAAACCAGGGATAATTGACATTCACAGGGAGAGAATTGATTACATAAAACGCTCAAAAGAGCGGCTCAAATTCCTTTTAGCAAGCATTAACTCCGAGGGCTCCAGGTTGCAGAATGGGCCAGCTAATCGCCCCTTGCTTTTATTTCATCCCATTCCTTGTTTATGCTTTTCATTATCCTTCCTGAGATAACTTTCCATTTATCTTTGTGGCTAAATCTTGACTGACAGCTAGAGGCAGATCCTCTTTCCTCAAGGGAGAAAATATATATATATTTTTCTTGACGATATCTTTTGAAGCATCTTCGGCTTGGCCCGCGTTCCCCTTTGTAATGTGTGTGCTTTGTACGTTTGTGTCCATCATCACTTTTAAACGTGTTTTGTGTGTGTGTGTGTGTATGTGTGTGTGTGTTTGACACGATTCATTCCCTGAGCGTGCGTTGATATTTGTTTACATTTTTGAACCGGCCATTTCCATCAGAGAAGTATCCTTAGCCGGGTCCAGTAAAATGTTAAAATACAAAAACAGCACATGATTTGTTTTTGTTTTGTTTTGCCTTTATTTGTATGCCGCCCTTTTCCCCGAGGGGACTCAGGGTGGCTCACAGTTCAAAAGAGGGAGGGGGAGAAGACAAACAATAGACAATACAGCATGTTAAAAAAGAAAACACAACAATCGCACAGTTCGAGTGGGGCTACAATCTTAACCCCAAGCCAGCCGGGACAGCCAGATCTTTAAAGCGGCGCGGAAGGACTGGAGGGTGGTGAGGGTCCGAATCTCCACGGGGAGTTTGTTCCAAAGGGACGGAGCAGCCACTGAG